ACCTTTACCTTAAAGTCAGAATTATCCTCATTTTATAGGATGCAGCCAGCTAAACTACCGATTACCTCAGAAGGTTGAGAGTACATTTGACAGTCTATTCTACAACTCTTTCCAGAAGGGCTTGCTTCTTGTCAGGTGCCGCCGAGTTGTCTCTGACTCATAGCGACCTTATGTACAACAGAACAGAACACTGCCAGGTCTTGTGTCAGTCCCACGATCTTGGCTATACCTGAGGCCATCATTGCAGCCACCATGTCAATCTACCTTGTTGAGGGCCTTCCCCTTTTTTGTTGGCCCTCTGCTTTACCAAGCTTAATGTCCTTCTTCAGAGAATGGTCCCTTCTGACAACATGACCAAAGTGGGTTAGATGAAGTCTTGTCATTCCTGCTTCCAAGGAGCATTCTGGCTACACTTCTTCCAGGACATATTTTTTAGTTCTTTTAGCAGTCTATGGTACTTTCAGGATTCTTTGACAACACCACAACTCAAAAGCATCAACTCTTCTTCGGTCTTCCTTATTCATTGTCCAGCACTCACATGCATATGAGGTGAATGAAAATACCATGGCTTGGGTAGGGCGCACCTTGGTCTTCAAGGACACATCCTTGTTCTTCAGCACTTGAAAGAGTTATTTTGCAGCAGATTTGCCCAATGGAATATGTCCTCTGGTGTCTTGTCTGCTGCTTCCATTGGTGTTGATTGTGGAGCCAAGTAATATGAAGTCTTTGACAACTTCAATCCTTTCTCTATTTATTGTGATGCTGCTTATTGGCCTAAAATCAAACTCACTGCTGTCAAGTTGATTTTGACTCATACTGACCCCTTCTTGGGTTTCTGAGGCACTATCACTATGGAATTAAATTGCCCAAACTTTCTTCTGAGGAGGGGCTGGTGGATTTGAACCACCAGCCTTCTGGTTAGCAGTCAAATGCCTTAGGCACTACACCACCAGAGCTATTGGTCCAGTTGTGAGGATTTCTGTCTTATTATATTGAGGTGTAATCCATACTGCAGAGTGTTGTCTTCAATCTTCATCAGTAAGTGCTTCAAGTCATCCTCACTTTCAGCAAGAGAAGTTGTGTCATCAGTGTATTGCAGGTTGTTAACGACTCTTCCTCCAATCCCGATGCCACATTCTTCTTCATATAGTCCAGCTTCTCGGATTATTTGCTCAGCGTACAGATTGAGTAAGTATGGGGAAAGGATACAACCCTGATGCACTGCCTTCCCAATTTTAAACCATGCAGTATCCCTTTGTTCTGTTTGAACAACAGACTTCTGGTCTATGTACAGGTTCCTCATGAGCACAATTAAGTGTTCTGGAATTCCCATCCTTCTCAATGTTATCCATAATTTGTTATGATCCACACAATCAAATGCCTTTGCATAGTCAATAAAACGCAAGTAAACATTTTTCTGGTACTCTTTGCTTTCAACCAAGGTCCATCTGACATCAGCAATGATATCCCTCATCCCACCTCTTCTTCTGAATCCAGCTTGCATTTCTGGAAGTTCTCTGTCAATATACTGCTGCAACTGTTTTTGAATTATCTTCAGAAAGATTTTACTTGTGTGTGATATTAATGATATTGTTTGATAATTTCCATATTCTGTGGGATCACCGTTCTTTGGAATGGTTACAAATATGAATCTCTTCCAGTCAGTTGACCAGGTAGCTGTCTTCCAAATCTCTTGGCATAGATGAGTGATTGCCTCTAGCATGGCATTCATTTGTTGAAACATCTCAATTGGTATTCTGTCAATTCCTGGAACCTTTTTTTTTTTCAATTTCTTCAGTGCACCTTCAACTTCTTCCTTCAATATTATTGGTTCTTGATCATATGCCACCTCCTGAAATGGATGAACGTTGACCAATTCTTTTTGGTACAGTGACTCTGTTTTCCTTCCATCTTCTTTGAATGTTTTCTGCATCATTCAATATAGTGCCCATAGAATCTTTCAATATTGCAACTCCAGGCTTAAATTTCCTCTTCAGTTCTTTCAGCTTGAGAAATGCTGAGTGTGTTCTTCCCTTTTGCTATTCTAAGCCAGGTCTTTACACATTTCATTATAATAATTGACTTTGTCTTCTCCAGGTGCTCTTTGAAATCTTCTGTTCAGGTCTTTTATCTTGTTTCTTTCATTTGCTTTAGCAACTCTCTGGTCAAGAGTCTCTTCTGACTACAGTTGTGGTCTTTTCTTCCTTTCCTGCCTTTTAAATGACCTTTTGCTTCCTTCATGGACGATGTTCTTGATGTCATCCCACAGTTCCTTTGGTTTTTGGTCACTGGTGTTCAATGCATCAATATACTCTTTAGATGGTTGCCAAATTCAGGAGGGATAGAATCAAGGTCATATTTCGGCTCTCCTGGACTTGTTTTAATTTCCTTCAGCTTCAACTTGAACTTGCATATAAGCAGTTGTTGGTCTGTTTCACAGTTAGCTCCTGGCCTTGTTTTGGCTGAAGATATTGAGCTTCTCCATCACCTCTTGCCACAGATGTAGTCAATCTGATTCCTGTGTACTTCATCTGGCGAAGTCCACATATATAGCACCATTTGTGTTGTTGAAAAATGGTATTTGCAATGAATAAGTTGTTCTTGCAAAATTCTGTCATGCGATCTCCAGCGTCATTCCTATCACCAAGGCCATATTTTCCAACTACCAATGATTTTTCTTTGTTTCCAATTTTTGCATTCCAAGCACCAGTAATAATCAACACATCTTGATTGTATGTTTGGTCAATTTCAGGCTGCAGAAGTTGGTAAAAATCTTCAATTTCCTCATCTTTGACTTTGGTGGTTGGTGCATAAATTTGAATAATAGTAGTATTAACTGGTCTTCCTTGTAGGTGTATGGAGGTTATCCTATCACTGACAGCACTGTACTTCAGGACAGATCTTGAAACATTTTTTGTGACGATGAATGCCATGCCATTCCTCTTTGTCATTCCTGGCATAGTAGATCATACAGTTGTCTGATTCAAAATGGTCAAAACCAGTTCATTTCAGCTCATTAATGCTAGGATATTGATTTTTATGTGTTCCATTTCATTTTTGACAACTTCCAATTTTCCTAGATTCACACTTAGCACATTCCATGTGCCAATTATTAATGGATGTTTGCAGCTGTTTCTTCTCATCTTGAGTCCCACCCCATCAGCAAATGGAGGTCTCTAAAGTTTACTCTATCCACATCATGAAGGTCAGCTGTACTCTAAATAGGCAGCCTTCCCCAGTTGTGTTTTGAGTACCTTCTGACCTAAGGAGCTCATCTTCTGGTACTATATCGGACAATGTTTCAAGGGTATTCATAAAGTTTTCCAGTAATATATCAGACAGTGTTTCACTGCTATTCATAAGGTTCTTACTGGCCAATTCTTTGAGAAGTGGATGGCCTCTTTCTTCTTCTGAATCTGTCTTAGCTTGCTTGAGAATGTGGCTTTATGACCACCTTCGGTCAGAAAAGACACTTGAGATTGAAAAAGAAAAACCGATGCTGCTTTGCAATTACCAACCAACAGTTTCCCCCATGACACTGGTTAAACTACTAGTCACCATGCAGTCAAGAGTTCTAATCCCCATACATGCACTTACTATTCTTGGGACAAGTCACCTCATTTCTTTACCCTTCAGCTATTTCATAAGTGATATTGGTATTTATTTCAGAGAGTTGTAGTGAAGAGTAAATGGAGCATGTATGCAAAGTACTCAGCACAATGCCTGACACTCACAGTAAGCACTTAGTGAATGGTAGCTATTAAAATATCCCGTGACTGTATCAATTTCTATAGAGCACATAAATTCTGTGGTTGAATTCAGTGCACCTTCATAGGAGCTCTGGTGGCACAATGCCTAAGGCATCTGACTGCTACCCTGAAGGCTGGCAGTTCAAACTCACCAGCCATTCCTGGGGAGGAAGGTTGGGCAATCTACTCCCGTAGTGATACTGTTTCGGAAACCCAAGGAGGGATCGCTATAAGTTGGATCCCACTTCACGCAGTGTGTGTGTGTTCATAGAAACATGCAGATTTGCAATATGGGGTGATATTAACCCTGTTTTTTTCCATTTGGTTCCTGGAAAAGGTGGTATGAATCTAGGATGGCCCTCTAAGACTTAGGTTATTAACCACTGAGGTGTGTGTGTGTGTGTGTGTGTGTGTGTGTGATACTCAAAATCAAACCCACTGCCCTCCAATCGGATCTGACTCATAGCAACCCCTCCTTGGGTTTCCGAAGCAGTATCACCACTTAAGTAGATTCCCCAGTCTTCCTTCCAAGGAGTGGCTGGTGGGTTTGAACCACCATCCTTCTGGTTAGCAGTCAAATGTCTTAGGCACTACGCTATCTGAGCTCCTGTGGGGGATACTGGATGTACTTAAATTCTATGAAGCTCAGAGAAGAAAGCAGCAGTCTTGGTAAGGGGCGTGGCTTTCCCAGCCAAACAAGAAACTAGCTGCAAAACCACGGGCTGCCTGTTTCCCAGAGACACTTTTCCTGCCCACAGTCTTGCATCTTTGCAGCTCCTAGGCTGGATTCTTCTTCGCGCCTAGAGGGCGCAAGTGGGCTAACAAACAAAAATCAAACTAACTGACGTGGAGTCTTCCGTGGAGTCCTAGCCACTCATAGCGATCCCTCTTTGGGTTTCTGAGGCAGTATCATTAGAGAAATAGATTGCCCAACCTTCCTTCCGTCGAGCCTGGATTAGTTTGTGGCGCCAACTGCTTCTCACAACCTCGGCGCCAGCAGACGGGGCAAACGGCTATCTCTTATAAGCGGGACACCCGCGCAGGCGTAGTCTAGCTTCTGCAGGGCGGCCAGCTGACTTTCCATGATCCTGAGTGGCCTGAGTTTTGCGCCGGTCGGCGATGCCCCTCACAATCATGGCGTCGCCAAAGGGATCGACCAGCTCGAGCGGAGGCCCGCCCCTCATAATTATGGCGGCCGGGGCGGAGCTGGAGCTGGACGGGGAAAAGGGGCCGCAGCACCGGGCCAGTGGTCATGTGACTGGGAAGATGGCGGTCTTTCCTTGGTAAGGAAGAAGTGGCGGATGACTTTAGGGAGGGATTGTTCAGGTTGTCTCTGGGTCTCTCTGTCTCCAATCTGTGTATGTGTGTGAATTTCCCTTGTTTCGGTATGTGTGTGTGTGTCTGAGAATTGCTCTCTCTGTTGGGTTCCGGTGGCGTCTCTCACCTCATCTCCGGTTTGTCTCGACCCCAAATTCCCCGACTGGGTTCTCTCCCGGTCTGTCCTTCGCTGCTTCCACAGCCTCTTCTCCATTTATCAAAGAAAACTCAAGGCTCTAGGGTTCGGTTTTCCCGTTAGAAGTTGGCGCGGGTTCTGGGAGGCGTTGATGGAAGAAAGGTGGACCCAGCCCTTAGTCTCTAGACTTGAGGTATCTGGCAGTTCAATTGATTTCTAAGCTACTCAGTTCACCTAGAGGAGACTTGCTTTTCTCGTCTGCGAAATGGCCACCATTCATCCCACTCTTTGCAGAGTCCTGCTCTAGGAAAGGCCCCTCAGACATCTTCCTTGGCCTCAAGGAGCTGACAGTCCAATGGAATAGATACATGGAATGGAGGAATGCTCGGTGAAGGCATTTGGATGAGGCACAAAGGAGGAAGTAATTAATCCTGCTTCTGGGGGAAGGCTTCAGGAGCTCTAGTGGTGTGGTTAAGGCGTTTGGCTGCTAACCAAAAGGTCAGTGGTTCGAATCTACCATGGATCAGGCAATCTTTTTTTGTAAAGATTTACAGCCTTGGAGACCCAGTGAGATTGCAATCAGCTCTATGGCAGTGAGTTTCATTTTTAGTTTGAGAGGAAAGCTTCATAGAGGAGGTGAGTTTTAGGTTGGGTCTTAAAAGATGAATAGGAGCTCACTAAGCAGGAGGGAGCAGCATGTGTGAAGGCTGAGAAGCCTTTCAGGGCTCTTGTGGTTGTCCTAGCTGAGGGTGACAAAGCTTCAGGCTACAACAGTGGGTTACACGTGTGCTTGGAGAACTCAAACAGGTTGTGATGGTGATAGTGGAATTATTTGGGAATGTGAGCTCTCCCCCACATCTCAGAAAGGGATATAATCAACTTTCCCATTCTCCTAAGCTCTAAACAACAACAAAAACAACAACAACAAACCTCAAACCAAACTCTATAGGGTCACCATGAGTATCAGCTCTAAGTCCTGTTGTTGTTGTTATGTGCTGTTGAGTCGGACCTGACTCATAGCGACCCCTCCTTGGGTCTCCAAGGCAGTATTACTACAGAAGTAGATTGCCCAACCTTCCTACTGAGGAGTGGCTGATGGCTTACCCTCTAGTTACTGATTTTCCCTCCTTCCCCTCCCCATCCCTGGAACCATCAAATTATATTTCTTCTTTTGTGAAACACTTTTCTTGACTTTTTGCAATACTGGTCTCATGCAATATTTGTCCTTTTGTTGTTGTTGTTGTTGTTATGTGCCGTCGAGTTGCCCCGACTCATAGCGACCCCTCCTTGGGTTTCCGAGGCAGTATCACTACGGAAGTAGGAATGCCCAACCTTCCTTCTGAGGAGTGGCTGGTGGGTTTGAACCGCCAGCCTTCTGGTTAGCAGTCAAGTGCCTTAGCCACTATGCTACCAGAGCTCCTGTTTGTCCTTTTATGATTGACTAATTTCACTTGCATAGTGAACTCACTAAACTCATCCATGTTATGAGATGTTTAGAACATTCATCATTGTTCTTTAGCATAATGTAATAATTGTGTGTATGTACCCACCATTTATTTATCAATTCATCAGTTAATGGATAGTTGTGTTTGCAGTGTGATGACCATACAGATAGGTCCTACCCTAACTAATGGATTGGTCATTTTTGACATCCTGTTAGGCTTAAAAAGAGAGCCGGTCCCAGAGCAGATGGAAGACCTGACTACAAACTAGAAGAAAAGATTACAGTAGAGTGCATGCTTTGGATCTGAGGTCTCTGGGTTGGGAACCTCCTAGACCCAGGAGACAAGCTATAACACCAAAGACAGTTGGAGATGTGGAGAAGCAGTGGCAGAGAAAACAGTGACAGCAGAGGCAGCAGAACCAAGAGACAGGGGTTGGTGCAGGGGGCTTCCTGGACCATGGAGCAAGAGCTGAGCACCTTTGGGCAGGAGACTTGCTGGCAGAGTGGAATGCCTTTGGGCACTTAGCAGAACGAGACTCATGGATCCATGGAAAGAGAAGGCTGAGCGTCTTCTAGCAGGAGGCTTGTTTGCAGAGTGGGGTGCCTCCAGGCACTTGCTGATGGAGCTAGGCTTGCTTACCCATGGGCGAAAGAGCTGAGTGCCATTGGGCAGGAGGCTTACTGGCAGACCAGGTTGCCACTGGACACTTAATCAGAAGAGGTTTGTAGCACTTGCCCAAGCAGGATAGAGGCCAGGGTGGCCCAAGAGGCCAAAGGGGTCAAGAAACAAAGAAGTAGAGGGCCAGGGAGGCCTGCCTCCCTGTGTGCCTGAGATTAGGCTGTTCTGATGAAAGAAATGTATCCTAAGTCTTTCTTGAGCCTGAATTGTTACTTGTTAATTCCCTGATAAACCCCACGAGGTACAGTGAATTACTTGGTGTGGCCTCTTTTAGCCATGGTCTTTGTGACTCTTAGCAGATGACAGGGTGAAACTATGCAAATGTGATGTGTTTGTGGCCTACCAAGAGGATTGGATAGCTTGCTAATAATGTAAATAAGGTACATAGCACCCTTGTGGGGAAGGGACTGTGCAAATAAGGTGTATGGATCCCTAACATGGGATTGCTTAGTTTTGTCATTCTGCTAGAGACAGAAGAGGGGATCTCACTGCCATCAAGAGGGAAGAGCTGGAGGTGGAGTGGAACACATCCTTGGATCTGAGATCCCTGTGCTGGACCTCCTTAGCAGAAAGATGGCAGAGACCACCAGCAGAGACACAGTGGCAGTGGAACTGAGAGGCATGAGACAGCAGTGGGCTTACTGGCCCATGGAGGGAGAAAGCTGAGTATCTTTGGGCAGGAAGCTTGCTGGTGGAGTGGGGTGCACCTAGGTGAACGTAGCTGCAGAGCTAAAAGAGTTTTGTAACACTTGTCCTAGCAGGACAGAGGCCAGGCCAAGAGACCAAAGGCCAGAGAGACATGCCTAAGGGCATAGCAGAGGGAAACCTGTACTGATCAAAGAATTGTATCCTGAGAGCATTCCTGAACCTGAATTGTAGCCTGTTGTTTCCCTAATAAACCACATAACCATGAACATTGTGTGTTCGGTGTGCCATTGCAACAAATTATCGAACCCAGTAGAGAAGTAGTGAGTACCATGGGAGGGATGGTTGGTAGAAAGCCTGGAGGGTGGTGGCATGTCTGGCCTCATAGAAATAAGCCTTGGACTGTTGATGGTTACTCTGTTTCCCCCTCATGAGTTTGAAGGAGGTCAGATGTCATACACAATACCAGATGGAGTACACAGGAATCAGATGTCTGTGGCAAGAGGAGATAGAAAAGCTCAGTATCTTCAGCCAAAACAAGGCTAGAAGCTGACTGTGGAAGAGACCATCAGCTGCTCACGTATGAGCTCAGAAGAGACTCTGAAATTTGTCCTTGAATGGAGAGTAGCTAAAGCAAATGGAAGAATCAACAATATAAAAGAGCTGAACAGATTTCAAAGAGCAGCTTGAGAAGACAGTCAGTTATAATGAAATGTGCAGAGACCTAGAGTTAGAAAACAAAAAAAGAAGAACATGCTTGTCATTTCTCAAGCTGAAAGAGCTGAGGAAAACAATCAAGCCTTGCGTTGTAATATTGAAAGATTCTATGAACAATATATAGAATGATGCAGGAAACCTCCAAAGAAGATGGAAGGAATACACAGAGTCACTGTACCAAAAAGAAGTGGTCGATGTTCATCTATTTCAGGAAGTGGCAAATGATCAAGAACCAATAGTAGTGAAGGAAGAAGTCGAAGCTACACTGAAGGAATTGGCAAAGAACAAGGCTCCAGGAATTGATGGAATACCCATTTAGATGTTTCAACAAATGGATGCTGTCCTGGAGGCACTCGACTCCTCTATGCCAAGAGATTTGGAAGACAGCTACCTGGCCAACTGACTGGAAGAGATCCTATTTGTACCCATTCCAAAGAAAGGTGATCCATAGGATGGGGATATTATTGAACAATATCATTAATATCACATGCAAGTAAAATCTTTCTGAAGAGAATTCAAAAATGGTTGCAGCAGTGTATCGCCAGAGAACTTCCAGAAATGGAGGATGGATTCACGGGAGACATGGAATGAGAGATACGATTTCTGATGTCAAATGGATTTTGGCTGAAAGCAAAGAATACCAGAAAGATGTTTACTTGTGTTTTACTGACTATGGAAAAGCATTTGATTGTGTGGATCATAACAAATTGTGGATAAATTGTGAGAAGAATGGGAATTCAAGAACACTTAATTGTGTTCACAAGAAACCTGTACATAGAGCAGGAGGCTGTTCTAACAGAACAAGGGAAAACTGCATGTTCTAAAATCAGGAAGGGAGTGCATCAAGGGTATATCCTTTCACCATACTTATTCAACTGTGTGCTGAACAAATAACCCAAAAAGCTGGACTATATGAAGAAGAGCATAGAATAAAGATTGGAAGAAGACTCATTAACAACCGGTGATACGCAGACAACACAGCCTTGCTTGCTGAAAGTGAGAATGACTTGAAACACTTACTAATGAGGATTAAAGACTACAGTCTGCAGTATGGATTACATCTCAACATAAAACAAAAATGCTCATGGTTGGTCCAATAAGCAGCATCACGACAAATGGAGAAAAGATTGAAATTGTCAAAGATTTCATATCATTTAGTTCCACAATCAATACCAATGGAAGCAGCACTCAGGACATCACATGATGCATTGTACTGGGCAAATCTGCAAAAGACTTCTTCAAAGTGCTAAAGAGCAAAGATAATGCTTTGAAGATTAAATTGTGCCTAACCTGAGCCACTCCTCAGAAGGAAGATGGGGCAATCTACTTCCGTAGTGATACCACC